GCCCAGGGCCAATCTTCCTCAGCAAAAAGAGGAGGATTGGCATTGGATGTTAGCTCAGGGCTGATCTTCCTCACCAAAAAAAAAAAAAAAAAAAGTAAGCAACTGGTATTGGTGCAATACTATTAACTAAACCACAGACTTGATTCCTGTGTCATCAGGTTTTCCACTAATGTCGTTTTGCTGTTTCAGGATCCATCTGGGATACTACACTGCATTTAGTCCCAATTTTTAAATCTTTCTTTCAATTTTTTTTTCCTCCCAGTACATTAATTTTCTCAACTCAGTCTCACCCTTCAAAAACTAAAAACTCTTGACTTTATTCTCACCCCATCTCTTTCCTTCCCTGCTTGGAAGAGAATGGTTTACACCACAGTTCACACTCAGAGAACCAGCATCATTAATGGGAGTGAGATTTTATAATCCATGATGAAATGGGAACAGTAAAGGTGATGTGTAGAGCTGTCATCAGGCTAAATTCATTCCATTTAAATGACCATCGTTTATCGGAGCAGAGGCCTTCCTATGTGGGAGAGGATTGAAATGTCCCTTCTTCAATGAAATGGTGGTATTAAAACATGATAATTTTAACAAATTAATCTTACTTGGCAAATTAGAAAGTCAGAAATCTGATTTTGATTCTTAATTTTTATTTTGTTTTATTTCTAAAAATTTCGCTGGTCTTATGACATCCAAAATTCCAGGAGCCACTGGCCTACTGTCAGCCCGCACCTCATCTCCCGTTTCCCCTCTGTCCATGCCTCTCAAATAGCCCTGGCCTTGTTCACAGTAAGCCCTTAGTTGTCACATCTAAAGGACAAGGGCTTCCACGTCCTGCCCCATCTCTGCTCCCAGGATCCTCGAGAGGTTTTCTCCTAGCTGCCCCTTCATTGCTTCGTGGGCTGCTCTGCCATGCGGGCCAAGGGCGGCCTTGCTGAAATGCACTCCGTTCCTGTCACTGCCCTCCTCAGTGACCCTCAATGACTTCCCATCATTTGCAGAATGAGATCCAAAGTCTTAGCTGGCACATCAGGCCGTGGTGCCCTGGTCCTGCCTCCCGCCGCCTGGAGCCCCAGGTGGTAAACTACTCGCAGCTCTCTTGTGTGCTGGGCTCTCTTGTGCCTCTCGGCCTTTGCTTATGCTGATCCCTTTTTGAAGAATGCCCTTCCTTCTGACTCACCACTCAATTCCCAAACACCCCTCATTTGGGTTTTGTGCTAGCCTGCCCCACTCCCTTGTTTGTGGCGAATGATGACCTGTCTCCCCACCACTCTCCAGGGCTAGGATTGTGTCCCTTTGTATCCCCACTTTGAGTGCTTGGCCTCAGTCAGCTCCCAGAATGTGTGATTGAGTGCTTAAATAAAGGGTGGGCTATATCAGTTTTGTTTGTTTTTTCAAAAGAAAATCAATTTGCATTACAATAACCAGATTGGAAATTAAAAAAACTTCTATATCTTTGTATAGATAGTAAAAAGTAATTCTCCCTCCATTCCTGACCCTCATTTCTCTAATTTCATGTCCCGTAGCCGTCACATCGCCAGGGTTTTGTGTGTCCTTCCAGAGATATTCTATGCACACGTGTGTGTGTGTGTGATCTTTGCACACACCCTTACGCACACATGTACATACACCCTTTTAAAAAGCATTTGGTAGCATGTTGTATATTGTTCTCCATTGGGTTTTTTCCTACTTCACAACATGTTTTGGAGACTTTTTTCATGTCAGTCCATATAAATCTTCTTCAATTTAGAAAAGTGTTCTAAGTTATTATTGTATGGACAAGTCATAATTTTTTTAACCAGGTCCTTATTGATAGACATCTAGGCTGTTTTCCCTCTGCTATTAGTAAATAATACCCCATACTTCTTTGAACACAACATGTATGTTTATCTGCAGAAAAAACACAATAAATGTAATTTAAAATAATCAAGTAGATCTATAGAATTATGCAAGATACAGGTAGTAGACAGGGGCAGTAATGTGTGCCCCGTGAGTCTGGAAAAAAAGAAGTAAGTGTGTACTCTGAGGAAATCGGCCATAACAACACTTATGGTATGTCTGGCGATGCACTGAGCACACTAATTACGTTATTTCACTTAGTTTTCAAAAACCTTATGGTAAGGATATTACTTATTATCCTTATTTGATAGATAAGGAAGCTAAGAATCAGCAAGGTTAACTAACGCACCGTGGGTCCCACAGCCAGTGAGGGAGAACTGAGTCCCCCAGGGTTCTGACTGCAGGGCCTGTTGGTAGACCATGGTCATGAACCTTCCACTGCGGGCTGTGCGCGGTCAGTAAGTCATCACTTGAAGGTGGAAACAGTCATGTGGTCCCTGCTTTCAGGAGCTTACACTCGAATGAGGGAGGGAGGCTGTGCATGATGAACTCTCCAAACAGTTGGTCAGTGACAGCTGTGACGAGTGCTCAGGGGACAGGCACGGGGTGCTGTGAGAGATGAAACCCGACAGGTAGGAGTTAGCCAGCTAAGAGTGGGAAGCAGCCTAGTCTAGGCAGAGGGAGCAGCGTGGCCAAAGACTCTGAAGAGTGAAGAACAGAAATAAGGCTGGTGCTGCTAGAGCAGAGGGATGGAAGACAGAATGGCTTG